AGGGTGTTGCTAGGTGATTGCTATGGTATCTCAGATGGTTTCCATGGTGTTGCTGAACAGTTATTATGGTATTTTAGGTAGTTGCAAAGATCTTATTAGTGATTGCTTTGATATCGCAGGTGGTTGCTAGGGTGTTGCTAAATGGTTGATAGGGTATTGTTATTTGGTTGGTATGGTATCTCAGGTGGTTGCTAGGGTGTTGCTTGATGGTTGCTATGGTTTCCAGGGTTTTGCTAAACAGCTATTATGGTGTTTTAGGTAGTTGCAGAGATGATTAGTGATTGCTTTGGTATCGCAGATGGTTCCTAGGGTGTTGCTAGGTGGTTGATAGGGTATTGTTATTTGGTAGCTATGGTATCTTAGGTGGTTGCTAAGGTGTTGCAAGGTGATTGCTATTGTATCTCAGATGATTGCTATAGGGTGTTGCTGGACAGTTAATATGGTATTGTAGGTGGTTGCAAAGATGTTGATAAGTGATCGCTTTGGTATCCCAGGTGGTTGCTAGGGTGTTGCTAGGTGGTCTATAGGGTGTTGCTGGGTGATTGCTATGGTTCCCCACGTGGCATTTAGGGTGTTACTAAGTATCAAAATAAGTTGAGTGCACAAATGTTTGCACACCATTCATTTCCATGGGGAAAATGGCATTTGATAATGTACACAAACCATATGTTGTATCAAAAAGCTCTATACAAGCACACCATTCTTGATCAGACCGAACATTCTGGAGTTGGAAAAGTGTCACTATCTTGAACTGCAGGACAAGTTAGCAGACAAAAATCTAACAGAAAAAAAAAAGAAATATACTGTCGGATAAAAATTTGAAAAGTCCCCCCAGTGGAAACTACAATCTAAGTCTGTAGAGAACGAGTATTCTTCATAGGTGCACCTTCTAACTGCCGAATGTCTTTCAGAGGTCTTGAGGAAAGCTTGAACAGATGATGCTGTTTTGCATGGCAGAAATTCAACATTGATGGCACATTCAGCCTCGCTGACGCACAGCAGTTCGCCTTGCTACAAGCATGACCGCATAAAATTGCTAATTTACATGAATTACTGGGTACGTAAGACACATTTCCCCCCTTAGGCAATGCCATTAGCATTGTATACATAATTAAAAATGTAACTGGACCTTATAGAGACAGTGGTGTGAGCCCCTGTAGCATGTTCTGGCATTCTTGGCCATTGGGAAGCCATAGCATGCTTTGACCTCAACCTTTCACTTCATGTTTCTGACACGCTTTTAAGCACATCAGAGCATAATTTTACTGGATGGCCCCATTTCAGTGGTCTCCACTTGTGCTTCAGCTGACAGAACACGGTATTTCTGACAATCAGTGGATTAAGTGCTGCTGAAGCTGCAACTGAGGGCAGATCATGTTGGAGAGAGACTCCTAGAGGTCATCTGTAGTATGGCAGGATAGTTTTACCCTGCTAGGACTCCAGAGAATCATCACACAATGGAATCCACTACACAAAATACACATCATTTCAACAAATTCAGGATTTCTAGGAAAGATTTGAAGAAGGATGAAGTCCATGATCGGCTGGATCAGAGCAGGGGTGTCCAGATCAGAGCAGGGGTGCCCAGCAGGGGTGCTGGATCAGAGCAGGGGTGCCCAGATCAGAACAGGGGTGCCCAGCAGGGGTGCTGGATCAGAGCAGGGGTGCCCAGCCCTGGTCCTGGAGATCTACAAGCCTGCAGAGTTTAGCTCAGTCTTAAACCAAAAAACTCCTGATCCAGGTAATGAAGGCCTTCAGAAGTATCTGAATAATAGACCCAAGCGTGTTGAGCTCTTTAGTGTGGTAGATCTCCAGGACCAAGACTGGACACCCCTGTATTAGAGTTAAGTGAGGGGTGGGGCAGCTTAATGGATACGGGTCAGAACTGAACTCTGCAGGAAGGTAGTTCTCCAGGACCAGGCTTGGAGACCACTGACCCAGGCCCAATTCCAATTCTTATTTTTACCCCTACCCCTTGTTTTCGAGTGTCACCTTGCCCCTTGGAACTGAGTTAAATGGGTAATGGTTACAATCTTCCTCTACCAAATGAGACCCTCTAATAAAAAGAACATGACTTCATTATCAGGCTACTGGAGCTGCTCTGTAGGCAATCCTGCCGGTCTGCAGTGATAGCAGAGGAGAGTAAAGTTCAGCAACCTCGCTGCTGGGCTTTAGTTACATTTAGGGCATCATATGCCTTCAAAGAGGGGGATGCAACAATTATTTGTTATTGCCCACCCCTAATTCTTCAGTGATAAGAAGCTCAAGTCAGATATTCGTCAGCTGCTTGTTCGAACATTCCTGTTCCACCTTAAATGGTACAGCAGTTACTTTCTGGCTCTGAAGGAGTCGGTACTGCTGGCCTACTTAAGGTGGAACGGGAAAATTAGCTAGCCACTGGGATTTTTACGCTTGTTATAAAGAAAAGGACCATTATACATTGAAATGATATTAAGCTAATTTAATATAATGGTTATTAGGGGCGAGGGGTGAAATGAGATTCGTGCCTTAGTGTGTCCACCATTTACCTTTACTACTACGTCCAACTTTTCAAGAGACTTGTTACCAGCTTTTCAAAGAAACCTGTAGGGATATTTTTCCACACCTGCAGAGTTCAGTCTTAGAAGTTGGTTGCATTTCCTTTTTCTCACAATCCAAGTAATCCCAAACACATTCAGAGATGTGGAGGTCTGGGCCTGGGGTGGCCAGTCCATTGTTCTGAGAACACCAGATCTTCTTCTTTTTGTCTTTTTCTCTTTCTCAGTGAGGCTTCTTGGCAGCTACACATCCTTTCAGATCCATAGCTTTGAGTGTCTTCTCACAGTAGAACGTCTTACCACCATTAGGAGTCCCATTTTTTAAGCCAGTCATTAACTGGTTTTGGCCTGCAGACACTCTGTTTGTTATTCACATCGCAAGCTAATTACTAAGCTGAGAACATGCAGTTTTAAATTGGTTCACTGATTGGAAGCCAGTAATTGTGACAGACCTAGTAGAAAATAAGAGCGAATTTCCCCTTTAAGGCCTGGGAAATACACCCCACTCTCAGTGGACCCACCTCCCTCGCTCACCTACTTTCCCCGTGATAGACGGGTCCTCCTCTAAGAGCGTATTAAAAGTAGTTTGTGGAGCTCCAGCCCGTCAGTGGCCCGATGCCGGAGAGAGTGAATCCCACTGGAACCCAGTCTAAATCTGCTCAGGAGACTGGTGAGCACAGAAACAGCTGGAAGAGGAAAGGCTACATGGGAACATGCCAATTTATACACATGCTGATAATTCCAGATTCTCCTTCTGAGAGTTTTACAGGGATGTAATAAATGACTGGTGAACTGTTGGACGAATGCTGTATGGATCATTCTACTGAACTGGTTCAGAGTTGAAAACACATTTCTTGGACTTTAGACTAAAATCCTTTTGATTTGAGTGACGCTGTACCTTAATTATGTTTATTTTATTAAAACAGATGATTGAACAATCCATTTTGCCACAAAAGAAATAATACTATCAAATCTTAATCAAGCGTTTCAGTAGTGATTGTTTCAACAAATTTAGATCATTTTGAGCAGAACTCAAAATCGCTAGCCAGTACCTGACTAGCAAACACAGCTTTGAATGGTTACACACATAAAACACAAAAAGGTTTCCTTAATTGAAGAAAATATGACAATTCTTACTGTTACACACTGATTTTCACACTTTGGGTCACACTAAAATTAGGCTCCGCCCATGGACTGGAACTTTGTTTTGGTAATGACATGAAAACATGAGACACCATTTTTGAATAAAGTTTCTAAATTTTTGAGGTTTTTTTATTATGATATGTCTAAATCTTCACTTTGTTAAGTATTAGTAAGTATTATTTTCACAAGTGTAAATTTAGGGGTTTGGGTTTGGGACAGACACCTTCCAATAGAAAGTACACTATAAATGATGAGTTTTGCGAATACTTAGTAAATCAGCCTTGAAATTGTTTTGTCTGGACTTTTGACTTTGTGCTTCTGTGTTGATTTCAACAGCTGACTACATGCTTTCCAAATTCCACAACTACAAATAAGTGTCAGAACGTTAAGAATGAAAATTTACTATCAAAATCTTTCAAAACAAACAGATGTTTTCCTGCAGAGTCTAGTTCCAACCACAATGTGCCACACCTGCTTCAGCTAATGAACTTCTTCAGAGGTTCCTGAATTGCTGGGAGGGGCCCTTGGGGCGGCGCTAGCCTGTCGCTGCCAGGAGGAGGGTTGGTGACCAAAGCTCTAAAATCTACCTCACAGAAGTTATTACATGGTCACAGATACATTGGGTGACACCTGGGACATTGTTGTATGATTGTTTTGAGTTAAGGTTTTGGCCTAAAATGTATATTTTTAAATAAAATACATATGAATTCATGGCAGAGAGATGCATATTGGGCATAGCAAGACAAAATAATCCAAATAATTTCTTTCTTTTTTTTTTAACATTTACCATTAAATACACTCAGAGGGCATCTGTAAGTGCACTAGTCATTTTGAATAGTAAACAAAGCAGTTGGTTTGCTTTGTAGATATTGTGCCCCCTGGTTTTTATTACCACCACTGTAGAGAACTCTAAGCTTGAATACCAATGAACCATTTCACCTCAGACCTCTCTGAATGACTTTGTTTTACAATGATTGAATTATGCAGAAATTTAAAAAAATGGGTGGGATTTCCCTACCTGGCCACTATCACCGCATCTCACGCTTGGATTGGGGACAATTCTAACTTGCAACCATGCACACCTAGCAGGGTCTTTCAATTATATAATCAGGCCATCAAAAATCAGGAACAAAGGTTCAAAATACTGACAACTTCTATCATACTTTAAATACAAAGGAGCGCTGGCGGTGTCGTAGTTTGAGCAGAATGCGCTAACTAGTGCACAAGTGTGTAGACCGCAAGTGCACCAATCAGAACACAGCCACGGACATCCGAACCTGGAAGCCGAGTTTACACGAAACGCGTTTCGGGCCTCGTCGGCCACCGTTCTGAAGAGGCTCGTTCTCTCTACCGCCTCACTCATTCAACACTGTCCGGGCTGAATTTAGCAACGGGCAGAGAAAATGTTGCGAAGGAGGACAGCCGGACAGGACAGCGGTGAAAGTGCTCAGCCTGACAGGAAAAAGGTTGTGAACTCTCCTCGCCGCTGCGTCGTTTATTTAACTTGAACTCGAGGCTAATGCGGAGTTAGCTGGCGTGCTCACCTCCCAGCTCCCTCAGGCTGCAGAGACACAGGGATGTGAGCTAGCTGGGCTAAAGCTGAGCGAGTTTAATGAATAAATCACACAGTTTATATAAGCTTTCTCTGCAGTGAGTGACCACCAAATAAGAGAAACACGAAGTCATAATACTACACGCTCACCGGACACTTTATTAGAAACACCTACTTTGTATTCCCTCCCATGTTGGTTGTGCAGTTGGTTCACAGTTTGGCTGCGTCCGAATACAAAATTCCACCAATTTCTCCAAATTTTTGAATAATTCAGTCACTGAGATGTAAACAGGCATTAATGTGAGGTGGTTCATTGTAGAGAAACTTGCTAGCTACTGCTTCTTCACAGTGGTGGCGATAGGAACCAGGGGCTGTGATGTCTACAACACAAATACAGCCGTTTTATTTACTGTCCAAACCACCAGTGAACCTACAGTGTCTTCTGGTTTTTATATGTTATGTTGATGATGGTGAAATAGGCATAAATGTAAAAAAAAAAAAAAATCAGTTTTCTTTGGGGTCTATTTTGGCTTAGAAAACCCTTCATGTATCCCTCCACCATGAATGAGTCAAATAAATTGCAGACTTTTATCCCAAAACTCATGTAAAGCAACGTCTCAGACATCAGGCAGCATATCGCTGTTGTCGGAAGAAAACCTCGTATCTCAATTTTTGATGTTTTTCAGTTTTTGACATCAAAAAGACATTGAAAGTACTTGTGGTCCTAAATATTGTGTGTAAATTTCATTATGAACAACAGAAATGACCCAAAATTACTTGGAAAAAAGTCTGGTTCCATTGACTTACATTAAAAATAAAGTAGGTTTTTCCTTTTCATTTCCTTGTCATTTTGTCATTGTCATTTTGGAGATACAAGATTTTCTTCCGACAACAGTGATATTTATGACCACTTCATGTAGTAACTTTCTGTGTTGGGGCTTTTAGAGGCATTACAATTTTACCCTGTTCTTCAGTGGTCAGGACCCCCATGGACCCTCACAGAGCAGGTACTGTTTGGGTGGTGGGTCAGTCTCAGCACTGCAGTAACACTGACGTGGTGGTGGTGTGTTAGTGTGTGTTGTGCTGGTCTGAGTGGATCAGACACAGCAGTGCTGCTGGAGTTTTTAAACTCCTCAGTGTCACTGCTGGACTGAGAATAGTCCACCAACCAAAAATATCCAGCCAACAGCCTCCTGTGGGCAGCGTCCTGTGACCACTGATGAAGGACTAGAGGATGACCAACACAAACTGTGCAGCAGCAGATGAGCTATCATCCCTGACTTTACATCTACAAGGTGGACTGACAAGGTATGAGTGTCTAATTGTGTTACTGCAGTGCTGAGAATGACCCACCACCCAAATAGTACTTGCTCTGTGAGGGTCCATGGAGGTCCTGACCACTGAAGAACAGGGTAAAAGTTGGCTAACAAAGTATGCAGAGAAACAGATGGACTACAGTCTGTAACTGTAGAACTACAAAGTGCACCTATATAGTAAGTGGAGCTGATAAAATGGACAATGAGCGTAGAAACAAGGAGGTGGTCATAATGTTATGCCTGATCGGTGTTTTTGCCCATTTTGAATTTGATGCCAACAACATGTTCCAAAAAAGTTGGGGCGGGAGCATGTTTACCACTGTGTTTCATCACCTCTTCTTTTAACAACACTGTGTTTGGGAACTGAGGAGACACTGCTGTAGTTTTGAAAGTGAAATGTTTATCTATTCTTACTTGATACAGGATTTCAGCTGCTCAACCGTTCAGGGTCTCTTTTGTTGTATTTCTTGTTTCATAACAAAAAATTTCTCAGTTTCAACATTTGATATGTTGTCTTTGTACTATTTTCAAATACATACAGGGTTTAAATGATTTGCACAGCGTCCCAACTTTTTTGGAAATGAGGTTGTACATTAAAATAGGTTTTATGTACAACACAAAATATCCAATGTTGGCATCGGCCCAATATTTACGTACTGAGGCATCCCTACAAGATAAAGCTCTCCTGACTGCTGTGTAAAAAGGCATGTAGCATCTCAGAGTCTGCTATTCTTGACTTAGCATAACATCAGCTTGTATTCATTTGCTTATTTTCTTTTTAATAGAAACACCTCAGTGTTTCATGTTTGGCTGTTTTTGTACATCACATTTGGAGCATTGGCAAAAAAAGAAAGCTTCACCTTTCAGTCTTGAGTTTGACTTTATTTTCTGTGTAGAATATTTTTTGGCTGGCGTTCGTCGACGAGGGCATCAGAGAAGCTGAACTCTCTACTGAAACTTTTTTACCTGCAGGCAACCTGCGAGGCGCCTGCTGCTGTGAACAAACAGCAGGAAAAGAGGAGCTGCTGGTCCACTGTGGTTTTATTAGGGAAGATTCTCCTTCTTGTTATCTTCGTCCCACCTTTCCTCAATTATGCCTCACTTCAAAGAGAAAGACAGGAGCTCAGCCCTAAAGGTCAGGGTTCACTTTTACCCTTTTTCGCCTAACTGGCCTGTGACTGCATATCAACGTGATGCAGATCTGATGATGAAAAGATTGCAGTGTACTAAAAAAACACTATTTTTCTTTTTCTAGGTGGGCAATTAATAGATGTTGGTCTAGGCCAGAAGATCAGCCTCATCTGCAAAGGCCACGGACGACCAGTTGGTAAATCCTTTTCTTGTTTTGTTGGAAAAGCTTCATTGCTGCAGGTTTATGTTTCCAAGTGTAAAGAAGGTAGTTTGGAGCCATGAATTTGGGCAGCACGCTGAGGGGGAGTGTTACACTGTGTAACGAAGAGAGACACAGATGAGAGATATCCTTAACTCTCCCTCGCTGCTCAAACACCTCATAGCTGATCGAGGGGCAGGATGACGCTGCTGCTGCTGTGGAGCCTTGGTGATCTGTTTCATTTGGCGCTAGATGCAGAGGAAAGCCCCCCCTGCAGATTGCTGCTGCAAAGGACGCACTCTACCTACCAACAGTCCATTAACTGAGACACACTGTATAGCTTTAGCAGGATGATGCATTTTGGCTACATTCACATTACAAGCCTAATTGCTCAAATCCGATCTCTCTGACTCGATGGTTCACACTCGTTTAGGTAAGTGATTCAAATCTGTCATTAATGTGACGAACCGGCGTCCTGAAATGACTCTCATGAGCTCATCCTACTCAGTAACGTCACGTGAATGAATCACGTTCATCATCAGCACAAACTAACGAGCAGAACGAGCTTCGCTGAGAAGATAATTAACTCTGATCAGCTCTCAGCTTCATTATTAGAGCGAGACGAAGGAGAAAAAGGTGAGATGAGCTGCTTTTCCACCGTTTACAGGCTTTAACTTCTGTTCAGTGCTGCTGCCATGGTAACGCTGAATGATGGCGCAGTGGAAAAAAAGCACATGAATTCCGATCTGAGCGTCACATTAAGGTCACATGGCCACGAACCAGATACGTAGCCGATCTAGGACCACATATGAAAGTGGCTCAGGTCGGATTTGAAAAGCCCTAAAAACATCAGATCTGAGTCAACCTGGCAATGTAAATGTAGCCTTTAATAACTTGGAGCATTCATACAGAATTCAACGGATGAAATCAAATGTGCAGTTGTACACAAAGGTTTGTGCACCCCTGGATGTTCATGATTTTCTAGGACTACGTTCACATTACCAGTTTAAAGTGGCACAAATCCGATTTTTTGCCCTAATGTGAATCAGTTCTGCTGTTTTCAGGGCTGTGTGGACACAAATCTGATATTTTCAAATCTGACCTAAGCCACTTTCATCTGTGGTCCTAGATCGGATTCGTATCCGATTCGTGGCCATGCGACCTTAATGTGACGCTCAGATCGGAATTCATGTGCTTTTTTTTTCACTAATTATCTTCACAGCGAAGCTTGTTCTGCTCGTTAGTTTGTGCTGATGATGGACGTGATTCATTCTCGTGACGTTACTGAGTAGGATGAGCTCATGCGGGTCTTTTCAGGACGCCGGTTCGTCACATTAATGACAGATTTGAATCACTTACCTAAACAGATTTGAGCACAAAATCGGATGTGAGCAGTGAGGCTTGTAATGTGAACGTAGCCTAAGTTAAAATGAGTGAACACATCCTCCACAGGGACGAAACATTTAAGTGCACAATTTGCATTTATTTGCTGAGTTTAACGTATTGGCAAAACATTGGCCATCATTTTTGTACAGCACACCTTTTATGTTTTTTTCTGCCAATTTTTTAAACATCATAAATAGTAATTGTGCAAATTTGTATCTCTGATATAGATATAGGTATATCAGTGTATAAATGTTGCTCAGCCGATCAGAGTCATCCTTTTTATAACAAAGAATTTTTTTTCTGTTCCATCCACTCTGTTGTCACGTGTTTTTCACTTTCACTGTATTTCTCAACCTCTCAAGATTTTGCTTGGTAGTGTTCGTCTGATTCTGCCTATCAGAGACCTAAGCTGCTTTTCTTCTCCACCTCTTTGCAGTAATTCTGGACGCTCCGACGGGGATGTCTTCAGACGTTTGGTATCACGTGCAGGAGAGCATCTCACAAACAACAAAGGCAAGTTCGATCAGGTTGTTGACTTCGTAACGGTCGCCTACTGATGCGAGCAGTTTGTCTTTGTGCGGGAAGACGGCGCTTGTGCTCGACACAATGAGTCTCATCAGGTTTTTTGTGTACATGTTGTTTTCATGCATTGCTGATGATGGGAAACGCATTCGAACGCTGAGCCGGACCGGCGTCCCGTAGAAGTGTTTATGTAACGAGCTATACGCAGCGTGTGGCCCAGGGCGGCTTATTCTGAACACGAAGCTTTCTCCTTTGTTGCTGTAAATTGTTTGTGGCATCGCGAGGTCCAGAAAAGCTGGAACATTATGCTTAGTTCAGCTGTGTGCAGTGTGTAATGGGACCCCTGGTGCTGAGAGTAGGAGTGAGATGTAAAGATTAAGGCCACCTACAAGATAAAGCAAACAAAGCAGCCTCAGCATAATGATCCACTTTGTGAATCGGTGACTAAGATTTGAGTCACGGTATTCAGGCAATAATAGCATCACTGACTTTTATTTATTTATTTCCCAGCTACTGTAAATGATGCTCTGCGATTTTCACCAAACTGTACAAGCTTTGCGAGAAGAAGAAGCTTTTCAAACTCCCTCAAATAAATGGACATATTGAATAGAAAGCGGATTAGATTTTGCCTGTTTTCTTTGCAAATACTGAAGGAACAACTGACAAAAGTCCTCTCTTGGGAATAAAGCCGAACTCCACACGTTGTAATGTCATAACTCAAACCTTTCAGATGATAAAACCAGCTTTAGGTCAAAAGAGTTTCATTGTGCTTTGTCAGTAGTTTGGAATGGAAAACCGTCAAATCCAGAGATGATCCGATCCAGTTTTTGTGCTCCACTGATGTGAGTTCTCTTTAAAATCGTTAAGATTGTTTTTCAGGTAGACTGTCTATGTCATGTTACATTTAACAGATTATACCATATTTCCAATAACCGGTCAAACTAAAAATCAAACTATCCTGAGTGATGCAACCACCGAAGTGTTGGACCCATCATCAGGTCGCGAGTTCGATCCCTGGTGATACTACAGCCGTCCGTAGCCGGGAGTCCGAGAGAGCACAGTTGGCCTCGCTCTCCCTGGATGGGTAGGATGCCCCCCCTTCCCCCATCACCCAGCGCGATGCTAGTCAGCGCAGGTGTCTGTTAGCTGACGTAACAGATCTGGCGGTTGGCGCTTTCCTCCGAGCGCGTTCAGCTGTCCAAAGACGTTGCGTGAGCGGCAGTTCGAAAAGAAGCGGTGGCGCTTCACAGGTCTCGAAGGAAGCCTGTGTTAGCCTTCACCCTCCTAGTGCTGGTGGTATCGTGTGACTGGGGGAGTCCTAACCAGTGAGTCGAATTGGAAATGACTAAATTGGTGAGAAAATTGGGGAAAAAATCTCCCCCAAAAAAACTAAATATTAAAAAAAATTAGCAAACTAGAACTGGAAGTGATGTTGGAGGAAATGGACAACAGTAGAAATCCTCCTTGGTTATTTTAACAATTATTAACAATCTTAAAAATGATCTTATGTGAAACTCAGTGTAAGTTGTGTGAGACTGTTGTAAGGTTAGGAAAATATTTATGAACTTTTTTCTGCAAGAATTCACCAAACTTGTAGGCGAATGGTGTTGGGTTCATTTCTGGCTGATTCCAGGTTGTTTAGCTGTTCTTCTGTCACAGCTGCCGACTGAAAAGCTGCTCAGTGGTGATGACAGTTTGGGAATTTAGTGTCGTCTCATCTTCAGAGTCTGACCAAATCGGCTGTCAGTCAAATGTGATCTTAAGTGTCCATTTTCTGTTTGTGGCAAAGTAAGAAGTAAAAACGTTCAAATGGTTTGAGCGTCTCCTACAGCTGTCAAAGTCGTTGCTGAGCAACGGCGTCTCAGTGGAGTGATACAGTGTTTGTGAAAAAAGTGTAATGTTATGGCGAAATGATAGCACAGTTAGAACGCTTCTCAACCAATCAGCTTGCGAGGCCGGGACTAACTGTTGTATAATGAACATCATTAAAGTCAGCAGAATTCCCTATTAATATATTGCAAAGCGTATCACAATCACAATACATAGAAATGTCACATTGTGGTATTTTGGCCATTTGTCCATTTTGTCCTCTAAAAACTTTTATAACTCCTGAAACCGTTTGACGTGCAGTGCTGTTATTGGGGGGAAAATGCACAAGGACATGTCCTAATGTTTCTGGATCAGGCGGCTCGCATGTCACACAGCTGCAGAGGACCCTGCAGGAGGTTAAGCAGAGCTTATACAGGGAACGTTGCCTTGATATTAGCCACCTCCAGCAGCAGCTATCTTTATTTTTAATTTAAGACTTTGTGCACAAACAGCCAAGGCATCCAACACATATGGAGGACCAGATTTGACAAAATGAAAAATAAATAAAATTAAAAAGAAATGGCTTAGTAAAATAATATATTAAGTAGAATTGCAAAAAATAATGATGATAAATCTAAAAATAAATATATGTATACATAACAATTAATATATTAATATATAAAATCTTATATAAATTAATATGGCTGCATTTATGTATATGTCTATTTAGTAATTTCCCCTTCTCACTAATTTTTATATATGTTTTTTGTTGTTTATATGTTTCTTTATTAACATTTCTTCTGTTTTTCTATTAATTCATTTTATTAATTCATTTCCATAACTATTCATTTCTATATTTATTTATTTCTCTATTTATTTCTGTATTTCCTTCTCCTTATGCTAATAAGGGGGCTGTCAGTCAATGATGTCACAGCGTCTTAATATTCCTGTTGGTCGATCGATGTCAGACTCTGTAGATCGATTGTACGTGTCTTGCTCTCTCAGTGGTAACTAAGGACAAGACAGTACAGTAACAGCTGTTTACAGCAGCAGACAGTCAGAGATCTGAGAGTCTCGGCTGATCTGTCTGAAAATGCAGGTCCGGATTATTGACTCTTCTGTTGGAGGCTGTGGGGACAGTTTCAGGTCCATTTTGCTGCCTCTGCTGATACAGAGGTCGACCAGTAGTGTTCAGAACCCTGGAGGAGGTGGTTCAGCGTCTTTTTCTGCAAAATTCAGATCACACAGACATTTGGACGCCCTTCTCACATGCGGCACAAACAGTCATAATTATATTTTCTGCGACCATTTTTCAACTTCTCTTTATCTCCTAGAGTTAAACAAGTGTTTTTTTATTACTGATATATGTAAATGAGTTCTGTTCTAATTGGCTGCTCTGTTTTGAGCCTCAGTCAAAAGCACAAGAGCTGGAATATTCCATATAACTTCAGCATGAATGGAGGGGGCTAAAGATTTATACATATATATTTATATATAGCTTTTTGTGACATTTCGTTTAAAAATAATGGTGTAAAAAAGGGTTTCCGAGAGAAAGAACCAGTTTTGGTTCCCTAAAGAACCTTTTTATGGCTGGTTCTACAGAGCAGCACTTTTGTAAGCATGTTTGTGAGACCTTGTTACGAGTTTAAAGATCCCCACGTAAAGTTAAGGTTCTGTACCAATTAATGTCAGAGCAGAGAACCATCTAGAAACCTTTTATCTCTGAGAGTGAAGGAATAAAACTGAAAAAGATAGAGAGATGGAGATGGAGGTAATGTGTTTCTGCGGCAAGGCGTCAGCGGTGGCCAGCGGCGGCCCTGTGCCGAGCCTCTGCCATGCCAGCTCGCATCAGGGGCCGCGCAGAGAGCTCCACAGATTGCGGCTGACAGCCTGCCAGGCTGCCCCTCGCTGTGTGTCCGAGCACTGATGCTCGCCCTAATGAGGGCTCATGGCATGCCTGTCCAGAACTCAGCGGGCACACACACGTGAAGCTGTCCCTTATGGCTCAGTCAATATATTTCCCACCACTTTTGACAGTTGCACGAAAGATAAGTTTGAAATCGTATCACCTTAAGCTGTTGTATTTAATATACAGCTTATTTTTCAGAAACTGTGAATTATATTGTAATCACTGTAAATGTACAACCTCATTTCCAAAAAAGTTGGGACACTGTGCAAAATATAAATAAAAACAAAATGCAGTGATATGCAGATCATTTAAACCCTGTATCTCATTGAAAATAGTACAAAGACAATCAGATGTTGAAACTAAGAGATTTTATTGTTTATTGAAAAATATTTGCTCATTTTGAATTAGATGCCAACAACACGTTCCAAAAAAGTTGGGAGGGGGCAACAGTGTAATGCTAAAAAAAAACCACCTGGTGGTTGATTGGCAACAGGTCAGTAACATGATTGGGTATAAAATATCATCTCAGAGAGGCTGAGTCTTTCAGAAGTTAAGATGAAAGACTGCACAATCAAATAGTTCAACATTTCAAGAATAATGTTTCTCAATGTAAAATAGCAAAGATCTACAGTACATAATATCATTAAAAGATTCAGAGAATCTGGAGAAATCTCTGTATATAAGGGACAAGGCCAACAACCATCCAGACGACGTCTTTTTCAGGGAAGGCCTTGATTATTTCAGCAGGACAGTTCCAAACCACGTTCTGCATTACAACAGCATTGCTCCATATTAAAAGAGTCCAGGTGCTAAACTGGTCTGTCTGCAGTCCAGACCTGTCACCACTGAAAAAATTTGGAGGGTTATGAAATGTAAAATATGACAAATGAGCCCCCGAACTGTTGAGCTGCTGAAATCCAATATCAAACAAGAATGGGAAAACATTTCACTTTCTAAACTACAGCAGCGTCTCCTCAGTTCCCAAACACTTACAGTGTGTTGTTAACAGAAGAGGTGATGAAACACAGTGGTAAACAGGCCCCCGTCTGAACTTTTTTGGAATGTCTTGTTGGCATCAAATTCAAAATTGTTGTATATTTTTCAAAAAAACAATAACATTTCTCGGTTTCAACATTTGTTATGGTGTCTTTATAGTATTTTCCTTTAAATATGGTTTACATGATTTGCATATCATTGCATCCTACTTTTATTTACATTCTGCACAGCATCCCAACTTTTTTGGAAATGGGGTTGTAGTTTAATTTAAATTTAGTTTAAATTTAATTTATGGACTTTTTTAGCCCTGAGGTTTTGAGAAATCAAGACAAAATTAGCTATAAATATTGATTATTTCTTTTGTTTTTTTTCCAGTTATATTTAACTGGCTTTTGTCCTTTATAATAATAATAATAATAATAATAATATAGTAATAATATTTTTCTTTTTTGGCCCGAAGAACTCAGTGTCCATTATTTCTATAAACAGTCTGAAAAGAGGAGTCGTCAGACCACAGTACATGTTTCCACTGTGCATAAGTCTATTTCAAATGAGCTGGAGCCCAGAGAAGTCGGCGGTGTTTCTAGATGCTTTTGACATGTTACTTCCGCTGTGCGTAGTACAGTCTTAACTTCCATATGTGGCTGTAGAGACAGATGGTGTTTACTTACAGGATTTTATCGAAGTATTGCTGAGCCCATGCTGCGGTATCCATCACAGAAACATGGCGGTTTTTAGTGCGTTGCCATCTGAGAGGTTGAAGGTTGCGGGCATTCAGTTGTAGTTTTTAGCCTCGTCCTTTATGTGCAGAGATTTTTCCAGATTCCCTAAATCTTTTGAGGTTATTATGTACTATAAATGGTGAACTGCCTAAAATCATTTTAATCCCTGGCTGATCAATGTTATTTTTAAACTGTTGTTTTTTTTTGCTGATGCATTTTTGGCAAAGTGGTGAGCCTCGACCATCCTTGCTCAAAAAGGATTAAGCCTTTTCTGGATGCTCCATTTATATCCAAGCATCCCCTTCTTTCACGACATTCCTAGTCTTAAATTGCTTCTGTGCCAACTTGTTATGAACATATTGCAGACATCAATATCAGAATGAATATATATATATTGACAAAAAACATGAAGTTTATAGGCTAAAGAGTTAAATAAGTCTTTGCTCTGTTTTTGTTCAAATACAGGTCAAAGTAGATTTATAAATCTTTGTTTTTATTTGCATTTTACCTACTGTCCTAATGGTTTGGGAATTGGGTTTGTAAATATAACACACCATTTGGTTAGTTTGAGTCAGTTTAAGAAGTGATCCAAGAAAGAATTCATCAGAGACATTGAGTCATGCATCATGTCATCAAATGGGCTGTGTGTGCAGTGTATTGTTTGCATCACACAAGCTTTGCGGAGATGCGTGTTTGAAGGTTATATAGATCTTTGCAGATTGTGTTTTAGTACAGATAGCAGCGATTAATTCAAAGCAAGACTGAACACACAGTAGTCACTTTTCATCAAAGTAAAGTCATAATAAAATATCTCTTCTTCTCTTTACAAACACATAGTTGTCGCTGGTCATAACTGTGACTTTTAAGGGTTTGGGAAGGTTCCTGGAGCTGCAGAGGGATGTGGCAGAGGTATGCTGGGTGTGCTGTATTTGATTGTGATTGGGCAATGATCTCTGAAGCCCAGGAGGGCAGGTCAACGTAATGAAAGCACTTTCTGTGCTGAGCTGCTGACAAACCAATAGCAGTTTGCTGAGGAACTTGGTTGTGCTGTGATTGCAGCACAGAGAAAATACTGTAAAAAGGCCTAGAAGTTTTAGAACTTCAGTCTCCATAGTTTTTGAAGATATGGCAGCCATCCAGACCCAGATCTATTTATTTGATTGTGTATGACGAAGCATCCCATCAGATGCAGCCAGCAGACTAAGAAGTTCTCCTCTGGTGTTTGGAGTTTTGCGATGTTTATGCAGATGTGTGGTTTGTGCTTTCTCAGGTTTGTGCGTATGACCGAGTGGGGCTGGGCTTCAGCTGGAGAGTGATGGAGAACCAGACGACAGGCATGGAGAAAGTGTGGAGATCATCTACCACTGGAAGGTACATGGATTATAGGGCATTTCCTTAACTTCTGTTTTACCTTTCCGTCTAACAAGGTAGTTATTTATAACGTGTTAAAATGGAATGCAAACTACACCACCTCACAGAGCAGGTACTGTTTGGGTGGTGGGTCATTCTCAGCGCTGCAGTAACACTGATGTGGAGGTGGTGTGTTAGTGTGTGTTGTGCTGGTACGAGTGGATCAGACACAGCAGTGCTGCTGGAGTTTTTAAACACCTCAGTGTCACTGCTGGACTGAGAATAGTCCATCAACCACAAATATCCAGCTAACAGCGTCCTGTGGGCAGCGTCCTGTGACCACTGATGAAGGACTAGAGGATGACCAACACAAACTGTGCAGCAGCAGATGTTTAAAAACTCCAGCAGCACTGCTGTGTGTGATCCACTTATACCAGCACAACACACACTAACACACCATCACCCCATCAGTGTTACTGCAGTGCTGAGAATGATCCACCACCCAAATAGTACCTGCTCTGTGAGGGTCCATGGGGGTCCTGACCACTGAAGAACAGGGTAAAAGGGGGCTAACAAAGTATCAGAGAAACAGATGGACTACAGTCTGTAACTGTAGAACTACAAAGTGCACCTATATAGTAAGTGGAGCTGATAAAATGGACAATGAGCGTAGAAACAAGCTCATAATGTTATGCCTGATTGGTGTATACAGTTTAGTGCTGAAATCTTTGGTGTCTCAGAAAATTAAATGTGAAGCCATCTGTCTGGTCAGCAAGCATCTGGTCCAAAAACACTACCAAAATTATGCAAATACAATTCAAACAAAAAATGTTATGTGTGATGTGTTAGCTTAATCATTTCCAAAGCTCTCTTCAAAGGAGTCCAGTGTTTACAGGTACCGTCCAAGATCTGATTTATTTAATCAAGTCAAAGTTTATTTATATAGTGGTTTTTATAAAAAGCAGCTTCACAGAAAATTTACCGTAAGTAAGCCACAAGACTCTCTGTGCTACCGTGGTTTTACACAACGCGAAGGGGAATGAAGTCCCTGTAACAGCCTCAAGCGGCTCACTGCTTTTACAAAATGGAGAAACGTTGGCACATTATTACACAGATTCAGAGCTTATGAAGAGAGAATTAAACACATGCACATGTCAAAACAGCATCAGAAACTCATCTTTTCCAGAGACAATAGAAGTTATATAGAGAAGAGGCGAAGGTTTGCTTTGTCTTTGGTCCATTTAAACGTGTTAAAATGAAGTGAAATCATTAAGACAAATTGAACAAAGCCTGAATTACATTTTAAAATCTAAAATTTTAAGAGTTGTACTAATAACATAATTAAAAAAAATATATGAATACTAGAAATGATTTGGCGTAAATGATAGATTCTTTAAAACTCAAGGTGACAAATTGCTGCTGGATTCATGAGAGGAGCTTCTTACCCCAGTTAGAGGGACATCTTGCACCTGTAATGGGGACCTTTTTAAGATTTCACTTTGTCCTTTAAAAACAAAATTGCCTGTTACAGTTTATTCCTTTATTATTGTAGGCTTGTGCGTCATCATCCTGTTCATGCTAAAACATGAAAAAGCAATTTTTCACAAAATAATTCCAAATAATTCTGTTGTTGAGCTGTAAACAGTCAGAGTGGTTTGATGTGAAATGGTTCATTGTAGACAAACTTCCCAATTTGGATTTCATTATAGTGTTGGTGATATGTTATTTTTTTTATAATTATTTTATTTTCTTTATTATTTTATTTATTTTATTTTATAATTATACATCCATTTTAATTATAGCTTTTATAGGCTTTCTTGGACGTCTGGTTCCTGTTACACCACTGTGAACAATTCTCACTTGGTTAGAAAGAAGCATTTCACATCAAATCACTCTGACAGACTTTCCTTACATCATTTAATTCTGCAGAATTCCCTTCTGTTGTCAAATGATAAGTAGTCTAACAGCTCAAAGCAGTCATTTTTATTAGCACTATCAAAATTTACGTGAATAACCTTGTCTGATCTCGCAGACTGTGGTGTAGACATTGAACGTTGGAGGAAGTCGTTATTTCTCTCCTGTAGACAACCTTACCTCCCACACAAGGGCACGCGTTTGGCCCCCTGTCCTCCGTGATGGCCGGCCCTGATTTTCAATCAGCTCTGACCGTCCTGTTTGACCGTGTTAGAGGAGATATATGTGTGCATGTGCGTAAGCGTGTGTGTCCTTGTCCTTTCCATGGCTTCATTGGCTGCTCTGGTCGTCCGGCACGTTTGCTTGTTCTTATCTCATAACTGTTGACACAGTAACACCCTGGCTGCGGACGCTTTGGCTGCTCCGTCCAGCAGTCTGGCCGCGGCGGGAGGCACACGATTCGAGCAATCAATTTCTCTCCCAGAATTCAATAAGCAGCAAAAAGCAGACTCTCTGATGAATGCCCTTTCAGCCCGCTGCGGCAAGACCTCTTCATTTGGCTGCCGGTTTGATTTGCTGGGAAAGGAAACAGCCGAGCAGATGAACAGCCATAAAACACAGCACATCAGTTGTGGATGATTCAGTGATCCGTGGTGTTTCATATCGATGAGGACAATATTAAACAAAGCTACATTTTCAAGAAATACACTTAAGATTAACAGAAGTTGGCACCTCCTTAAGGGAGCCGTTGTGCAGAAAACAAATCAAATGTACATAGTTTTCCTCTTACTCCAGATGTAGTCCATCAGCCGGGGTGTGTTTGGTGTTCAAATTTTGCTGAACGCAGCGGGCAGCCAATTTAGATGACAGATGTTGTGCCAAATTCTGACTCCTCTTCCGTGCCCGCATGTCACTCAGGCATATTAACACCTAAGATTACATTCACTGTTTCTGTGCACAGATTGAGTATCTTTGTCTTGTAATAGTGGTGCATGTCAAGGTCTAGAATATTGCTGTTGTCAGAAGAAAACCTTGTATCTCCAAAATGGTAACTTTACAGGAGAAGGAAAAAACCTGCTTTACTTTAAAGGTAAGTCAATGGAACCAGACTTTTTTCTGAGTCATTTTTAGTCATTTCTTTTAGTCCATTCATCATGGAATTTACGTACAGTGTAAAGGGCAACAGGCATTTTCAAATAATGAAAGAAGGTTGCATGGTCTGATGAGTCCCATTTCTATTCACATGGACTGTCGGATACATGTGTGGCCTTTTACCTGGAGAATTGATGGCACCAGGATGCACCATGGGAAGAAGACGAACTGGTGGAGGGAATGTGGTGTTTGACCATCTGGCCAAATGGTTTGAGGAACATGACGAAGAGTTTAGGATGTTGCTGATCAATCCGATGGAGCATCCGTGGGATCTACTGAAAGAAGAAGTCAGATCCGTGGTGGCTGCACCTTGCAAGTTACAGGGCTTTAAGGGATTTGTCCATGCCTTGGTGGGAACTGTTTTGGCGGCAAGAGGAGAACCAACAACATAGTGAATTTGGTGGTCATTAAGAAGGTGGTCATGTTTTGGTTCTTTGCCGTATGTAAACAACTATTAATCTTGAACTATCAAATTGAAGAAATATGTATATTACAAAAAACAACACAACTAATGCCTCATCACATGACGCTACCAAGCTGGGAGGATGAGGGCTAGCGCATGCTTCCTTTGACTGATGTAAGTCCAGCTGCTGCACTTTGGGGGAACACTTATTGCCAATTCTTTAATGAAGAAGCAGAATCTAGCCATGTACGTTATTTTTAAACAACTACGGCTTAAACAGAGATGATCTGTCGTTTTAATCCATAACTTTATGTCCCTGAACATAGACTCATGGTCCACATACTGTCAACATTCATGTTTCTTTACTGGAACAGACAGAGTCAACTCCACTTTTCCAATGATCAAGACTCTCAGGGATGTTTAAAAGTGAGGAAAATGGAGCAGACTCCCTGTGATCATGTAAGATATAGTGAGTTTGTTATCCCACTTCAGGCTGTAGCTCTTCACTGGATTACAAAGACTAATCCTGTAGCCTAGTTTGTTAGCGATAGCTAGCTAGATAGTTTAGTACATCTAGCAGATTTATTTACTTCAGTAAATCTATATGTAAAGGTGTTCTTCTACGTGACATCTATGTATGTTTAACTGGAATTGCCAGGTGTCTGGTTTGGAGAGTCCAGTTCTGAAGAAATAGTTAGATGCTGTGCCACTAGTTCTACAAGTTCATCTTGCAGTGCATTCCGATCTAATCTTCTGTAATAATTTTCATTCTTTGGATCCCAAATGAATGTGATCTCTGTGTAAAGTTAAGGGACATGGAGACAGAAGAAAATAATAAGCTGTGTAAATCTTGATAACAGCAGGCAAATGAAGAGTAAAGACTGGCATAAGCAGCTGTTTAAACAGCTGTTAGCGTTACTGGCTAGTTAACGCAGCTGGTTACAGAAATATTTGCTTAGAAAAATTCATGTTTGTTGTCATGGCTCAGGAAACTATCGGAATAAAAAATTACTAGCATTGAGATGGGATGGTGGGTGGGGGGTTGGGTGGTCTTTCTCAACCGCCCAGTAAACCTCATTTCTGTTTTATTTTCTTGTCTATTGATCTGGTGAAATCAGTGGTTAAAAAGTATGTCATTGGTGTTATCATTGTTTTGATTGGCTGCTTATTTTAAAATGTAAAGCCAGTCTAAAGGCATTCGATTTGTTGAAGTGATTAGAGTATCATTCTAGGCCATTGCACTTTTCTCTCTTAGCCCTCAGGCTAATCACTACACTGATGTGTGTTAGAGATCTGTGATCTGTATTTGAAAACACCAATGAAGAAAAAGAAGAAAGACATTATAATATTAGAAATGAAAATTGCGAGTGTGAAGCATAGTGGGTCAGGTGGTATGAGCTTTGCGTCCCCTCTAAGAAACCTATGCCAGTAATAGCATGGGACAGATTTGTCTGGAAACAAAAGCAAGAATTATAGTATTATTAAGCTAATTCAGTGTCATGCACATCTATTTCGTATGTAGTGGCCTTTAGAATTTATTATGTCTTGTACTTTCTCCAGTATGTGTTTTTTGGCCTTTTGGTTAACGACCATGTCAGAAATAATTCTTCCTGACCCCTTGGCTCACTGTCTCCTGGTGCATATTGCTAATTAAATTTATACCTGCGTGGTTAGTTTCGGGTCAGTCCGTCTCCGGTGTAATAGACAAGGACGGAGCTGACCGCTCTGCTAATGTTTGCACCGCTGTCTGGAGAAGAGGAGGCGGGGTCGGAGGTCAACGGATACACGTGTCATAACACGCCCCGGTGATGAATGAGGCGTCAGATACACTATGTCTAGCCTTCACTCATTCCGGCTATGTTCACCCATGTGCCTGCGATGGATTGACCTGTATCCCTCTTTTCTCCTCCCTCTCTCTCTTTCTCTCTCCTCATCTCTTTTCTCAGGATGGTGGACGACCTCCACAGATTGGTCAAGGCTGCTGAGATAGCCACACCCTTTATTCTGGTTGGCTCGGAGCTGGGTGCGCTTAATGGCAGGTTCTACAGCCACATCCATGACGCGTAAGTCTTCTCGCTTCAGATCAGTCAGTTTGACAGCTTGGACAAACCTTGAGACGGTAGTTAATGGATGTTGCCAGGTTGGAGCGTTGAAGACGCTATTTGCATAACTAAATGGGATAAAATCATGCACGGTTCAATAAAGTGCAAGAGTAAATTAAGATAGCGCTCAAGGGGCTCTCAGCTAAAGAAGTTTTGTCTGTGTAGTGCGCAGAGAGAGATCTTGGGTGGAACTCTCTTCACAATCATTCAACATATTCAGTGTGTTAAAGGATAGTTCAGTCAGAATTGGCTAATTGGTTGCCACTATTTTTCATTCATTTTCAGCCATGTTAGCTGTTATGATGACTGGATTAAGCACATGGATGCTCCAGGGCTCTAGAATAACGCCATCCTGTCACCCTAGAGATGAAAAAAGAGCTCATGCACGATGTTTAAACCAAGGTCTTAATCGGTTTGGGACACTTCGGGGTAGATTAACTTGCATGCAACAACAACAGCTGTACACGCCCACCCTAAAAATAGCAATGTTTAATCCAGAAACTGTTTGTAATTTGGTTTAAAAGTAGCATTTTTCCATCAAATACGTACCTCTATCATAATACCGATTTCTGTTATCATGTCAATGGGAATTCCTGTGTAATATTACCACAAAGTTAATGCTTCTGGCCACTCAGGGTTTTTTTAGCATGCCCTAGCTTAAACATGGACAATTAAATCTTGTAACAGACATTCAAAATGACATTAAAACGGAAACACAATAGTCGACATTTCCCACCAAAGTCAGTTGATACTGGCTTTATTCGGTTTGACTGCATGGAATTACGAAGGTTCAATGTTAATATGTGACTCTGTATTGTCCTAAGTCAGGGGTGTCCAAAGTCCTGCCCCAGGGCTAAATGCGGCCCATGGACAGATTTTAACTGGCGTATGGCTTCTGTTTTACGGTGGTTATAAGTGGGCCCGCCAGACAGTACGTTGCAGTTCTTCCTTTCACCTGATGGTGGCAGTTGACCAGACCTGCAGCTTCATTTAGTGAATGGCATTTAGTCAAGGCTACAGATATAAAGCTCAAACTAGACACTGAAAACTGCTGATTTTGACCAGATGGAAAACTTCTTAGAGTAAATTCAGTAGTTAAGTAAGTATTGACCCTTTAAGGTCAAACAAAAACGCTGCTACACTGCGTTTATTTGATATGTAAAGAACATTACCTAACAAAACTCAAAAATTTATAGATTTTGTTTAGTTTGTCTCACATTATAGTTTTCAACAAGTTAATGCTTGAATAGATATGATTAATACTTTAGACATGTTGTATTGTTAGTCTTAAACAATTTATTTATTATAAGCGCTTATTGATTCAAACTGTTCTGAACAAACAATCCAACAATAAAAGAAGCTTTGTGCATCTTTTATACAGTGGTAGGAAACACGGTAGCTCACAGAAAGCTCAGATTCTGTGTGCTGATATTTTGAAAACTTACATTGAATATTATTATATTGAAAACCTATACATTTCCAATGATTTGTGAATGATATGTCGGCCCTCAGGTGTTTTAACACAGTACAATCTGGTCCCTCTTTGAGAGAGGTTTGGACACCCCTGTCCTAAGGTGTACATCACTGCCTGGCCTTTAGCTTCAGTGCTTAGTGTAAGCAGCGCTGCTCAGGTTCTCTGTGCTTAGTATTTGGCGCACAGCGTGTTATGTTGAAACAGCTTCATTTGAAATTCGCAATGAACTGAGCATTTTTACACAGTGAGTATATAAATCGTAGGCTATGTCCCAAACACTCAAACGGACAGTGTGAGTCTCCAAAGAACAAGGTTTCTAAAATCGCGCAGTGCATGTCTGACTTTGGAGGACATTCAGCTACAGCTCAACCAGCCAATCAAAAGACTTCATACGTAAAACTCCACAAGTGAGCTCCTCAGATGCTTCAGCCTCAGATGAGATTCCTGCTGTGTTACTGTGCTACAGAGACTGGTGTTGAAAGAGACAGATCGAGGTTTAAACTATGAAGCACACTTTACTTAGACCTGTTCAGAAGCGCTTTACTGACAAGGAACTAAACCTGCTTTTCTCCGCTGCAGCACTACTCAATCAAAGGTAACTAATGAAGCATCAGCTAGATTGTAATGATTTACCTGTTTAGGTACACTGCACTCATTTACACTACATCAACAACTACTTAATCCTAAATAGGTTACTCAGTGTGGTATCGGACTCTGTATCGCTGAGTACTAAAAACTGTCTGGATATGGGATCAATGCATCCCTATTTGTTAGCTACATTAGCCGCGTAGCTCAAGTGCAGAACTACAGAAGCAAAATTCAGACACCAGGCATGTAGGTTGGTATAGTGTAGTGGGTAACACCACTGCCTCCCATGCTGCAGACTAGGGTTCGATCCTCCGCCAGGGTGAGCACCCTACACTATACCAATAAGAGTCCTTGGGCAAGACACCCAACACTACCTTCGCCTACCTGTGTAGAAAAAAATAATCAAACTGTAAGTCATTCTGGTTAAGGGTGTCTGCCAAATGCCATAAATGTAAATGTAATGTCTTTGCTGATCAACTATGTTTGAGATAAGAGGTATATTTTTTTGGCGAACTGTTCTTTTAAGGGTGACCTCATACCATTCACTTATCCCTGTCACGGCTAAGCCTGACAACCACCTTGCTGGTGCAAGTCTCTGAAGCAGTTCTCTATAAATCCCCCCTCTACTGTGGACTGATTACGCCCCCCCCACCTCCACCCTTCTTCTGAAAGGTTTAATGTTTCATCACCACTGATGCACAGTTGTTAACCCTGCAAATTAAGCAGCCGTGTCCCTGTGGCACCTGCGAAATGAAAATATTGCCCCCGCAATGGCATCGACCCCGTTCATTCTAAAGGGTGGCCTGGCTCGGTGACAGTATCTGTCTTAGCTTCATTAATCAGAAAGGTTAGAATGGGAGGTTGTGGCCAGTCCCCGTTGGGATTGAGTACTGGTAGCAACTTCACAATATGGGAAAGCTGTCACTATAACTCCTTTTCAAATAATCAGCAGTGATTTGTTGACAGGATGATGATGCTAAATTTAAATTATCCTGCTGGTCACAGGATAATCTCTGTCTCGAGATGACAAAAGTTGTTACCTTAAGTTAACAAGTTACTTATTTTGTTATCTCAAGATAACAAAGTTATCTTGCGATAGCGAGTTATTTGTCTTGTTATTTAAATATAACAAAACTGTTATCTTGAAATAACAAGGTACTCATCTTGTTATCTCATGATAACAATCCAGAAAATTATAGCAACAGCTCATGGCCTCTCCGGACTTCCATGCTATGGCAAATGGCTGAAGACTTTGATTTTCTCTCTTTTTTAAACGTTGCCATGGAGATGGCACTTTGGCAGTCACTTTTGTTTGTGTAAGGCAGAAAAAAGGCACGAGAATACAAAACTTTTAATTTCATCATCAAAATAATAATAAAAAAAAACATTGTGTTCACAAAGCTCAGATGTACGTAGCCCAATTTGAGATGCAGCATCGTACTTGATGAAGCAAAGGGCAGGTTTATCAGTTTTAATGTTTCTTAAAGGTTATATTTGCTGAGACCCAAACATTCAGTGAGCTTGGATGTTGCTATGTCAACCATAGAGACACCAAACATTGGTGGAGTGAGTTCATGTTGTCTGTGAGAGTTCGCAAAAATCGAACAGAGGACGAATTAAATAACGTTACTCTTTTGACATCCGAAAAACTGCGTCTGGTCTAATTAATGTAATCCTGATATTAATCACAATATTTTTATAGCATGTAGTGCTGTCACAGGTGTTCTGTTACTACCCTGATCACTATTTTGAACAGGCCTCGTCCTGGTGCACGTTCTGTCTTTCTGCTTCCTAAACCAGTTTTCTGTTTGTCTTCCATACTTACTCCATTTTACACCCCACAATCTCTGTCTCTGTCTGTCCAGGCAAGTGTCGGACTTGGTGTTGATCAGTCCGATTCCAGAGGACATCTTTGAGGAGGAGAAGTGGCAGCAGTACTGGTGAGTCATCGAGAGAGAGAGAGTGAGAGAAGAGAGAGCACTGAACAGAGCCTGCACACTGACACAGTTCTACTGCCCATCCGTTTTAATACACAGCCCTATTAATCAGTGGCCGGTGAGCGTTAGCAGCTGCTTCTTATCTCTCATCAGTGGCCAAATCAAGAGCGATTCCGCCCGTGTTAAACTCCTCTCACTCAGCACTATCTAAATAACAGCACATTCTTCATGTAGTTCAGTATTTAACAGCTGAGCAGTTCAGAATTTCTGCATCATTCAGCTGTTGAGTCATTGAGAAGTGCTCAGTTTTAGAGGTACTTACATTAGAAAACTTGATTTATAGTGGTGGTGATAGGATTCAGGTTCACAATGTCTGCACTGCAAATGTAGCCAGTTTACAGGGTGATTCAAAAAGATTCATCCGATTTCAAAGCGCCATATTTTTACAACCGTGAGGTGCTTAGGAACCAATCACATACCAATTGAAAGAGGGGATCATAGAGTTTCTGACCGTCACCTGATGATGGCTCCCTTCAGTCTGAGAGGAGATGAGACCCCTGAGCAGAAAGCGTTCTGCGTTCTCCACTTCAATAAGAGTGAATCCGTCATAACTGTGCAGCGTGGTTTTCGTGGGCAGTGAAGCTCCAACAGCTCAGAGCGTTCGTTGTTGGTTCCACAACACTGGATGATCTCCGAAATCGCACTGAAAGAGCCGTGAGTGCAGCGACACCCGACATGCTCAATCGAGTATGGGATGAATTTGACTATGGCGTTGATGTTGTCTGTACAGCTGGAGGAGGTTCATATTGAGCACTTGTAAAATTACATAATAAACTTTATGCTCATTTAAACCATTTACAGTTCACTGCATTGTTCTGTAATGATTTACAAGTGAAATAAATCATTTTGAAATCAGTGAATCTTTTTGAATCACCCTGTATTATATAAAACCAGTGAACCTACATGTCCTGTGGCTTTTTATATGTAATGTTGATAAAGGTAAAACAGTGGTTAATCTGAGGGAATAAAATTGTTTGGGCACTGTTTTGCCTTAAAACGCCCTGTGTATAACCCTCCGCCGTGAATGTTTTAAAAAAAATATATGCCAAAATCTCAGCTCAAGCTATCATAAAACTGTGTCTCCGAATTCATGCATTTATGTCCATTTCATTTCATAACCATTTCATATAATATCTTTTGGAGACTGAGCTTTTAGAGGTATTAAGCCCTTTGGACGTCTGGTTCCTGCCACCATATTAAAGGTTGGAGCGTTCACACAGACTTCCTGAGCAGTGAGGCACTGCATCCCGGCACTGCGTTTAGACAGAGGATATTGAGTACGCGGTAAAATAAAAGACGAAAAACAATGCAAACTAAAACCGAACAAAACAGCAAAATTAGAATTCATGCCCTTAATTAAAACGAAATACTACTTCGAGAAGCATTGCACCAATTTTTCTGCGAAGGTTCTACATAATTAACTCATTAAGATGTAAACAAAGTTGTTCAGAGTGTGCTGAATGACATACTTATTTATGTCGATTATTATTAATAATAACTCAAATAATTATCTAAAACATTGTATTTTAGTATATTTTATGTTGCCCGCCGTTTTATAAAAGCAATAAGCCACTTGGGGCAGTGAGTTACTGTGATTTTATCACGACAGCATGGCACACTCGACAGTAACTTTCTCAAATTCAAATCATTATTAAATCTATTTAAATTCCACTGAGAAGTAATTGATATGGATTATACATGCTTTTGTAATCATTGGTAACTGCTGCAACTTCTCAGTGTTGATCCAGACATGTAGTTTGAAATGGTGAATATATTCCGATTTTCCTTTTACCTGTACGGCTGTGTTTTTTTATGTAGGCTGCAGAACAGACTATGCTGCCTTCCCAGCATGTCACGGGAAATAATGAAGATATATCAGAGATTTGCTCTGTCACACTGAGCGAGCATTCTCATGTGGGCCATCTCGCTGCACATCCTGATTCATAACCTCCAACCGCTGTTATTTATTCCACGCTTATATAACACAATTGGGTTCCGTCAGATAAGAAATGAATACTTCACAACGGTCTAATTCATATGTGACCGAAAGTAGAGCTGTACCGTTAATCTGCGATGTGTGTCCAATTACCCTTTGATTAATAGGCGCTTGACCAGGCCAGCACGAAACAGCGAACATGCAATCCAATTACTTAGGCATGGAGAAATAAATGTTGGGGGTATTAACTTACGACTTAAGTTAATATAATGTATATGGAGCTCTGTACCAGATTTTGTTACTTATAGAGGCAGTGAGTAGAACTGGCTCCTTGAATTAAAGGAATAGTTCAGTGAAAGATCAAAATTATTCAGTTTTCCCTCAGCTTAAATGTAGCCGATCAGCCAAGACATGTTAGTTAAGTTACCCTTTATTAATCCCACAACAGTGAATTTCACCTCTGCATTTAACCCATCTGCAGTGAAACACCCACATACACACTAGTGAATGCACACACACACTAGGGGGCAGTGAGTACGTGCTGAAGGCGGTGGGCAGCCCTATCTGCAGCGCCCGGGGCGCAGTTGGGGGTTAGGTGCCTTTCTCAAGGGCACTTTGGTCACATACTGTCAGCTCAGGGGATGGAACCTGCAGCCTTCCAGTCACAAGATTGCCCCCCTAACCTCCAGCCCACGACTGCCCCCTAGGTGTCTGAAGCTTTTCTTTATTTTTGTATGGATGCTAAGAGGATAGTGTGGCTAGCAAGTAATGGAAATGTGTGCACCACACATTTGACATAAACACATTTTTAGTCTTCATGGCTGCTACTGCTGTTTTCATCAGTGGTGAACTGTGACTGTTAGAGCTAGGCCTTCACTTCGGGCTGTAAATGTAGCTAATGCACTTGTTAAGTGCATTACCTATATAGCTCCATTACAAAGGTGAAGACGCCAAAGGTGCGTTGAGTGAACTCTAAGTCAGTCGTAACAGAAACCCAGTGAAACCCAGTGCAGAAGCAGGCCAAAAGATTCACCTTTTTAGTGCATGGAACTGCTCCACATTCTTTACAATTGCTGTAATTGGATGGCGATGTGGCGTAGTAGATTCCTCTTAAAGATACTCTCAAATGGATTTAAAGTACAATGCAAATGTGTGAGGATAAATTATTTAAAACTCTTTCTTTATCTCTTTAGTGTGTTTTTACATCTCCTTGTATCTACACTCTGTCCACTTTATCAGCTCCACTTACCACATAGGTGCCCTTTGTAGTACTACAGTTACAGACTGTAGTCCATCTGTTTCTCTGCATACTTTGTTAGCCCCCTTTTACCTTGTTCTTCAATGGTCAGGTCCCCCATGGACCCTCACAGAGCAGGTACTATTTGGGTGGTGGATCGTTCTCAGCACTGCAGTAACACTGATGTGGAGGTGGCATTTTAGTGTGTGTTGCGCTGGTACGAGTTGATCAGACGCAGCAGTGCTGCTGGAAACCAAAAATATCCAGCCAACAGCGTCCTTTAACCACTGATAAAGGACTAGAGGATGACCAACACAAACTGTTCTTCAACAGATAGCATATACAGTATAACATAACAAAAACAGTCAAATGCAAGGGTTTAAGCATTCCCTGGGTAAATTAACATGTTTTGTTGATAAGAAAATAAGTTAGCACGTCCTCTACAGGAAACTTAAATATGGCATTTTTTGCTAATTGGAGTTCAGGTTTATTTGATAGGTTTAACATATTACAGAAAAGAAAACAAAACATATAAAATATGCCATAATTTTTCTATGTAGCCATTCATGTCAAGGGACTACCCTAACTTGTATGTTGCATTATCTGTGCTTAATGGTAGCATAACATTGTAAAGGTTATTACAAAGCTAATACCTTTGGAAGAATTTCAGCCAGTACATCACCCACTGCTGTTGCATCTCCTCGCAATACTGCCGATACAGATTTTGCAGTGCTTATCTCAAACGTGAAATACTCCAGCTCCGCCAGCATGTCGCTAGCTTCTGTTAAGCTCCAATACTGGTGTGCATGTAAGAGTCGCTCAGTAGAACACAGTAGAAATGGCTACATGGTATTGGAATTCTCTACTGTTGGTAATGATACCATGTTTAAGTGCCCTTTTCAGTGCTGATATCCATGAAACACTAACAAATGCTGTACAAAGCAGTAAATGTTTAGTTGGTTAGAAGAACACAGTTAGAAAAACAAAGGATTGGTTCTTGGCTTCTTGCTGCACTCCAGCCATTCCTTGTATTTATGAACTTTCATCAGCAGCACCTGATTGTGTTTAATGAAGGAATGGCTAGATAGGTTGTTGGATGGTAACTGCAAATAATGGGCCTCCCTGAGGAGAAGTAGTACTCTGCTGCCTAATTTATTGGGCTTTCACTATTTTTTAGTGCGTTTTGAGGCGTCTTCAAGGGCGTGTCTAAGCCCAGCGCGTGACACATAGAAGCATGGCAAACGATTCCTTGTTTTGGTTGTTCAGTGTTTTTGAGATAAACAGCTGGTGTCCAATAGAGGACAGTGGTGGTACCTGCGGAGGGCAGCAGGGATGCTGTCAGGCCCCATGTGACCACTGCAGGATTTCCACATCAAAGGAGCTTTCATTAAGTGTGGACTTTGCTGAGATGAGTTACGTTATGTCCTGAGGGACGCTCTATTCACCGTCTCTGGAGATGCCCCGCATGCACATGAAAGAGGAGGAGAAGTATGGCGTTTCTATAAGATGTTCCCCCTCCCCCTTCTTACTAGAACAGTATGTTCCTTTCTGTGGTATGCTCTGCCTGTCAGACATATGGGGCACCTTCTCTTGAATTTTTAGGTTTCTCTCTGTTGTTGTTCAATTAAATAAGGAAAAAACTATAAATAAAATATGACATCTTAACAGTTTGTTCATCGGAGTGCCTTCCTCTGTTCCAAGAGCAGCTTTTGCCTAAATAGGGGACACATTGAACTCAGCGTGAATTGGAATTCATAGCGATTTTTTTGT